CACAACAGTCAGAAAGAAGGGAGGTGCCCTCCTCCCTCAGTCTACCCAGGTGTTAAAACTGATTAAACACCAACTCACGGCTCAATTAACCCTTGCTCCTTTGGCTAATTATCTCAGTGGAAATCCATCCTACAATCTCTTTGACAAATGAATGCTTCATACAGAATTTCCATCCCCACTTTAGACACAGCCTCTTTATTTCTTGGCTGCAAATGAGATGTTGACACTTGCCTCAGCTGGTAAATAAGTGAATAATTTAGAAAATTCCTTAGTCACTATTTGCAGCCAAAAGCTCCTAAGACAGTGGTGTCCATATTATTAGCTACTACTAATGAAATGTCAGAGAGGCCTTTCTTGACTATCACTCAAACTGTCCCCACCTATCCCATTATTGGATCCTAAACAAAAACAACAACAGATGCAACTGGGTAGGGCAGCATATATCTGTGATCCTGGCACTTGGAAAGTGGAAGCAGAAAAACTATGGGTTAGAGGCCAGCCTGGGCTCCATAATAAGATCCTGTGTAAAAAAGACCAACACACACACACACACACACACACACACACACACACACACACACATTGAGCAGACAAAATGAATGGCTGGATAAGTAAACGCATCTGCTGCCAAGCCAACAACCTGAGTTCAACGCCCAGAACCCACACAGTAGAGAGAGCTCACTTCCACAAGTTGTCCTCTGACATCTACATGTGCAACACAATGAATAAAAATAAATAAAAAAATTAAAACCCAAACACCAGCACCATTAAGAAGGAATAAATCTTTGTTTACTTTTTCTTGTCCCTCCACTGGATTACAAACTTTGAGAGGAGGATCACCACTGCAGTTTTAGCAGTGGGGCACAGTCAGTGGTGAGTAAGTATTTGTTGACTGCATTGCTACTTTTTATTGAGCCTTTACTACATGCTAAGATCTTTATGATTTCTACCCTCATGCCAACCTTGTGAGCTAGGTATTATTATCCTCCATTTTACAGATGACAAAACAGAGGCCTGGAATTATTAAGAACTTTGCCCCAGGTCCTTCATAGAGGTATGTTTCAAACTCTTACAGTGCCACTGTGACAGAGCATGTATTCATGCCATATACAGCTCTGGAATGAGCATGTTCTCATCACTATCCCATCATTTAATTGAAATAAGAAACTGAAATCTCTCAAAGGCCATGATCACTCATGAGATCTTAGTAAGAAAAATGTCCAGGAAGGAACCTAGAAGGGATACACTGTATCAAACCTGCCCAGAGTTCCCAGAGAAAAAAGAGGAGAGGATCAAGGGTAAGGGTGGATAAGAGGTTTCTATTTTCTGCCAGCTCCCTGTTTATAAATGCCACTCTATTAAAGAGGTTTCTCTGTTTCCCATAAGGAAGTCATGAAGATCTCAGGGTTTAATAACTCCGCCCTAGGATCCAAGACATCAATACCAAATGATCAACAATGTATAACTCCTGCTGCTCTACAGAGCTGGGATCCTGTTCTATAAACACTACAGAACTTTTATCATCCATCTCAGGCTGAGCAAAACCATATTTGTCTGGCATTCTGAGTAATGGGCAAGAATAAATGGATTAGGGCTCTTAAATTCTTTGTTGGAAGACGTTAAAGTTTAAGAGCTCTATACAGCTGAGTCAAATGCATGAGCCCATGCTGTGTAATTAGCAAGCACAACAACTATACATATATAATTTAAAGGGAAGACCAGCAGGACAAGAATGCCAACCAGCACTCTCCTTCCCATATGCAGGCATCCCCCACTTGGTCTTCAGCTGTATAAACTGTAACCTTGCTGGCTTTGGGGCCACTCTAATATAAAAAAGGTTTGGAGCTCTTCATTTCTTTCCTAAGTGATTTAGGCTTCCCTCTGAAGACAGCTTTCCAACATATGCAATTCATTGCTTCTCTAGTAAACATTCATTTCCCTGTCTAAGGGGATTTAATAAATCAGCAGAGTTGCTGTTTAGTGAGGCCACCCCCTAGTTTTTAAGTACTCCGAGAAGTGGGCATCCATGTTACAAAAGGAAGACAATAGTTGCCTCTCCTGGAATAGTGCCTTAGAGACCAGAGAACTCAGAGGCAGACACTTGGTGCTGAGCATCCTAGGGAAAGGAGCATCCCGCCATCCTCACCAAGGCTGAAGGGCTGCTGAAGGTAGCAGGTGAAGGGCAAATAATTGGCAAAAGACCCGTCCAGTAGAGAAAACCCCCAAGGGTTTCATAAGCAATGCTCTTTGGCTTCGAGCCTTAGATGAAACACTTGTTTTCTAGTGATTTCTGACCACTACACTTGCAGGTGCTCAAGAGGCAGCTGCTCTTCTAAGTCTTGATTTGCAGTCAGAAAGACATTCAGCAGGCTGGGCTCTGGCTGGGCATGTGGACACGCATGGGTTTTGTTTTGTACTCACTGTTAGTTCAATTTGGCTTATGGGGTTAGGGTTTAATCGCTTTACCCCAAAAGACTTTACTCTCCAGGTTTGGTCCAGGCCCCATTGTACTGTGAGGGTTTCCCTCAGTACAGAACTCTTCCCCTGGGCTATGACAACTGGATGGAAATCCCCCTGCCCTCCACTTCCTCTCTTGGAACTGGTGTTCCCAGGGCTGAAGCCATAAACTTAAAAGTGTGAAGCATGATTATCAGCAGTGACATCATCAGTTCTTAAATTGACCTCAACTCTGACCTAAGAGCAGGAAAATTAAAATGCAAATATTCTTGATTCCAAGAATGTCCTATGTTAGTGCCAGAAATGAAACCCAAAGCAAGGGATATCAAAATAAGTACACTGAGTAAATACAGTGTCTTCCAAATTCAGCCTGGCAGGTCAATTTGTCCCCTTGAAGTTAGGCTGATGAAACAGAACAGTGTACCATGCCAGGGTTCAAATTCCAGTTTTGTTACTTAGTATCTGTGTAATCTAAGCAAGGGACTGAAATGTTGGATCCTTTAGCTCCTCCTCTGTATAATGGGGTAACACTGAAGGTACTTATCTCTTGAAACAAACAAACAAACAAACAAACAAAACCATTTACCCGGTTCTTACACCACAATCAATACAGAACATGTGTTCTTTTTGTATCCCCCCCAAAGTGTGGGGACTCCTCCACTGACAAGCAAACAGGTCTAAAGCACATATAGCTGGTTGTCCTCTAATTCAACTTAATTAAATCCTAACACTACCAGGAGATAACACCAGATCTCATTTCTCTGGGAGCTCAATCCAGCCACAAGTCCTAGGTAGCTTCTGACCACTGACTATAAAGCAGGGTTTCTACAATGCCCTCTTCTGATACAATTTGCTAGAATGGCTCACAGAATTTAGGGAGGCTCTTGCCAGTTCCCTGGCTTATTCATAAAGGAGGTTACAACCCTATTGATGAAGACACCCATAGGACAACATCCATGGAAGAAAGTGAGTCACTTGCTGCTCTGGTGTTCAGCTATCTGGAAGCACCAGGAAACTTGTTCTCCTGAGTTTTTTTTTTTTTTTTAATGAAGACTTTTTTATACATTCGTGATTGATTAAAATCTTGGCCATTGATGATGGACTTAACCTTCTGTCTCTTTCTCTCCTGGGAGGCTAGGACAGGAGTCTGTAGGTACTAACCCTCTAAAGCCTGCTTCAGTTTTTCTGGTGACTAATCCTCATCTTGAAACTACCTACAGGTAGCAAGGTCTTTGTCATTACCACACAAAAATACATTTTCATTTTGGAGATTTCCAGGAGTTTTAGGAGTTGTATGCAGAAAATGGGAACAAAAAACCAAATACAGAGTTCACCGCATCACAGTACCAAATACACACTGGTTAATTTGTAAAAGTGGTCATCAGATAGAACGTGCTACAGTGATTGAAGCCTTGTTATTTTAAATTTTAGCTATCTAAATGTTTGTTAAGCCATATCTAAATTTGACTTTTATCCTTTTCTGGAATCCACCTGGTCTCTTCCATTATCTGCTTATTTGCCACTAAAAGTTGCACCCAAAGTGATCATTCCAATTAGACCATAAGGTTGGTCCATCTTAAATACATGGTGCCAACTCCTGAAACTGGAGTTAGATAAGTAGTTGGCTGTTGGACGAATCTCATGCCCCAAACTACCACAGAGAAGGGCAAGGGTTTTGCTTTCATCTTCGGCACTGAAGCCATGCCTTCAGTGGGAGGCAGCCACTCAATGCTTTATTTTCCAGACTCCACGCCATGCTGCCCATCCCCCACTCTCCATTCCCATAATGTGGTTTACTGAGCCCGTCATCTTTCCTTTCAGGAAAGCCTAAAAGGTTGTGCATTTAATTCAACATGAGGTTTTAATCAAATGCTTACTTGGTTAATGACAGCTGGAAAATCTGGCCCCAGAAGCCAGCATGTGGCTGTCTTTCTGGGCAGGAGATTCAAGAGTCCTTGGTTTCCCTGGGCACATAGTATTAAGAGCTGGCAGCTCTCCCTCCACCTCCTGTCAAGAGGCTGGACTCTGCATCATTAAGCCCAGGGTGCAGCACCAGATCCTAGGCTATCCACTCTCCCCAAACCATTCCATTCATCAAAAGCTCAGGTGTTGGAAGTACAGACCCTTGGGCTGCTGCTATTGGGCAAAAAAAAAAAAAAAAAAAAAAAAAAAAAAAAAAAAAAAAAAACACCAGGGAAGAACCACAGTAAACCTGACCTACTGTTGGGTGAAAAACAGACTCCTAGAGATCCAACTAAACAAGGCAAGCGGTAGCAGAGCAGCAAACTTAAGAGGGTGGTTCATGAGTAGTTTGGTCCAGACACCCAGTCTCACACAATCAATGAACAGCCAACAGAATACTAATCACGCCTTCATCCTCCAAAAGTTAGACAACTAAAACAACCTTTGGCAAGAGCCATTTAAAAATCATCCAGAATTCCGTTCCTCTCAGAGACCTGGTACATTTCGCAGCTTGGTCCTAGATCCACTCCTGGGGTAGCTTACCCGGTCGGTATGTCGAGGTCCCCACCCCCCGGACTTACCATTGGCGTTCTTGCCACATATGAGATGCTCATACGGTTGCAGAACTCCCCAGAGCTCGGCGTCGTTGTTGATGACCATCTCCAGGGCCTCGGCTGACACGTCTCCGCCTCCTGCTCCTCCGCCATCCGGGCTCTGGCTTGCCAGCACCCTGGCCCGGATCTCCTCAACCAGGTTCTCCATGCAGGCGGTGAGCGAGATGGCCGCGTACTCATGGATGCGCACGGAGATGCGAGTGTCCACCATCCAACGAAAGAAGCGGCCCACGGAGAAAGTGAGGCCGCAGCGCGCCGACTTGCCACGGCGCAATCCATCGCCAGCGCTCATGCTGTAGAGGGACAACGCCTTGACGGCCGCCAGCGCACAGCTCTCGGCCAGCGCCCAGCTGTGCACCAGACGCACGGCACTCTGCACCTCGAAGCGGGTGCACTTAGCGTGCAGCACGCTCAGGCGCTGCGCCTCTCGGG